ACGTAACGTTTGACGTGTCGTTTGGTTACAAATGATAAGATAAAAAAAAACATTTAGAAACAACAATGCAAAAATTTCAATGTTTGTAACGATCACGTTTACGCTCATGATCAGCCGGCTACCGATCACCAAGTCGCCAATCGATCCTCGTGCCTTGTTTCATTTCAACCTAGTACATATCACGGTAACAGTAATTGACCTATTCAACAGCGGATTGTAAATGGATGTGGAAGTAGAACACCTACCGGTATACATGTATTTCCTACATTGTAGCGAAAGAATGCAACTTGCTTTGCTAGATATTCTTCCCTCAATATTAACGATATATTGATTTTAATTAAAAATTAATTGGAGAGGAGAAAAAAAAAAAAAAAGAGAACGTCGATACTAAGCGATAAATTATCATTTCATTAATTTCGTGGTAATTTCATTTAGGAAACATTAGCCTGTTTGACTTTTAAATATTAACTCGATCCTCGTTCATTCTCTGTTTACAAGTCTTGCTATACGCCGTTTATATAAGAGATGTTCTACACACAAATTAACCATATTAGCAGGAAACGTATGACAATATTAGGTCAAAGTTTAATTTCCAAAATTGAAACTGCGAAAAACAAGTCGATTCGTTGAAATTGATTACGTTTAAAAAAATTGAATCATTCATCCGATATATATATATATTTTTTTTAATACGATCAATGTTCATAAAGATTTTCTTCTTTTCTTTTTAGATAATTTGTTTTACGCTTTAGTAGTTATTCTGGATAATTTTTTTTTCTTTTTTTAATCTAATCAAAAAAGAGAAAAATAGGAAAGAAAAATTAAACAACTCTTCTTTCTCTCGTCTCGTCTCGAAGACAAGGAAGCATCGACAATTTATACATATATGCCGGCAAAACTGGTTCTCCGGAGAATGAATCTTCCTGTTATTCCTTCGAACGAGTCACGTGTTTTCGTTTGATATCGCGTTGAAAAAAGAAAAAAAAAAGAAAAGAAAAATCGATCGTCGAATTCCGTTAAAATTATTCGATGAAAATGTTCGTTTTACCACAACCACTCGATGATGAAATTAATGAAATACATCGATCGATCATCGATATATTCTTCGATGAAGAATCGTGAGTCGTGAAGGACACTTTCCAAAATTCGCTTACATCCGATCATTGTAATACGTGTACAACACGAAAACAGATTCGATTAAGTCCTCTCTCGTCTTCGAGGACAATCGAGGAATTATATACGCGTATGTAGTTTCGATACGAGATCGTCATCCTCTGAATTCTCGATTATCCTTACTAGGTGTTATGAAACAGAAACCAATCAGTCTAAAAAAAAAAAAGTCAACTAAGCAAATAGTTTTGAGAACCTCTTTTCACGGAACAATAGCATGCCAGTTCGTGTGACACGTTACAAGCTCAAATTACGGTTTGATAAAGAAAAAAAAAAATAAGTAATTGCTTAAAGCTATTAGTACGTAAATGTTTTTATAATTAATATAATTTATGCTGTTTCACAATAATAAATAATAATAATCGATAAACAGTTAAACTCAAGAAATAGAATTTTACAAATGGTGAAAGGAACAAAATGGTTTCTACCCTCTAGAATGGAAAACGACGGGAGAAAACTACCTTGCTCTCGAAGGTAAAAAGGGGAAAAGAAAAGCAGGATTTATCCCGGTAGGATGTAGGACCCTGTTCACAGAATGGAAAGTGAATAGAGACGATGACTACAAAGGAAAAAGGAAAAAATCTTTGTGAAGAAATCTTTCGAAAACCAGTTCAGAGGATTGTACCTGCGACGGATGGATGGATGGATGGATGGATGGATGGATGTGAGAATCGGTCTATTTTATAAATACCATCTGCCACAAAAGGAGAATAATTTAATCCCCTTTCATTGGTTATGGATACAATGTTAAATTAATCATGCATACAACTCGAGATAATTAAGAAATCGAATGACATCATTTCTTATTCAGACGTTCATTACAAAGGCTGCATGTTCGCCATTATTATATTAATCAAGCGATTTCTTTTCCCCTTTGCATCCAATTTATCTCTGTAAATTGTTATGAAGCAACGTGAACATATTTTCTTAAGACTAACCTTAACGAGTAAGGATCCATAGCTGGTTTTTATGCCTCTCGTTCCAACGATACAACGTATATTTATCTATTCCTCCCTCTTTTTTTTTTTTTTTTTTTAATTAACGCTTTAGTCAATTTGATCTTTTCTAAAAGGTATCCTCGTCAACTCGAAGCGAGGATCTCGTACTTGGCCACCATTTTACGTTATTCTGAAAAAAAGAAAAGATGCGAAACATCAAATATAATTTTATTTAAATTATTCGTATATATATTCCCGGTTGCACGAAAGGATAACGATAATCGAACGTCACGTGGAAGACGTGGTTCGCTTGCATAATTCTCCGCGCAATGCACATATCGTGGGCACGAACCAATATCTCGAAGGAGATCATAAAATACTTTAACACAATTACGCGATAATTTCACAGTTGCGCTCACAGCAGAATATTGACTTTCTATGTCGAACGCAACGATATTTTTCACCTTCTTTCGTAGAAACGTAAAATAGAACATGCACATATATACGTACGTGTGCACCGCCCTGAGGAAAATAACTTCGCGAAAGTTCCTCGAGCATACATCGTGACGTTCACTGTATCATTAGATCAACGATTATTTTCCGATTATTTTTCTACGAAATGACCAATCGAGGCGAGAAATATTCCATTCGAATGAAAATATTCGATTGAAAAAAACGAAGCTTGTTAAGCTTATTGTATATTATAGAAAAGAAATTATCTCGTTTGACGACCAACCCTTGAACGATAATAAACTCGACTCTCAAGGAGAATCCCGATTAAATTGTTTTACGGCACGCAGCTGTAGAATTCCTCTCGAGCAAAACGAGGGAAGGGGAAATCAGTTGTTTGTGAAATTGTTTTTTTCCTTTCTAATCGCTGAAAATCTATTCTTCCTTGAGCGAAAAATTGTAACGAGATCAGGAGTTAACAAGCACGACACGATTCTTGAAATCGTTTGATACTGAATCACGATCAAGATAGTTTAGAGTTTAAGCACGATTGCATAAGAGATTCACGTGCCGAAGCCCGTCACGTGATTTACAATTAAGGACAAATATGTCGATAATAATTTGTCGTGTCGCATATATAACTGGAAATTGACGAATATCTATTATCTTTGAGAGGAATTAAGTGTTTTATTTAATTATTTAATGAGCAAACAATGTTTGCGACACTTATAGAAATTATCAAAGATTAATTGTCGATTTTAAGTCAAATAATATATTAAAATAGATTAATTTTACAAAACTCTTTATCTACATTAATCATCGATTAGACCATCGAGTAAATGAAACAAGATAATCCACATATGAAACCGTTACGTGAAAATTTATCTTTTTCTAAAAAAGTGTGTGATAAAATATATAGCAATTATTTTTAATTTTTCGTCGTATTTTTTTTTTTTTTTTTTTTTTTTTACACTCAGACTTTTACAATCAATACAAAGGTAAATTTCCTTCGGTCGTTTTAAATATAAATTCTGAATAATTCTCACCTATTATTCGGTTGCTATTCATTCAAATGTGAAACGACGATGATTCGATTTGAAACGTGCACCAGGTCAGATCAAAGATCGGAAAATAAAATTGGATACGCGTTATGTTAAGCGTCAAACGCACGATTTATAAATGCACGATATAATAAAAATTACGTCATTTACACGTTTAAATCATTTGTCGATATCGAAACACATTTACGTTTATAACCATTATGATAACGTCGTTAGCTCGTAAACTCGTATATGTATGCTTAGAAAAAATTTTCAAAGTAAAAACAAAACAAAGGAACCTGGCACGATTCAAAGGAGAGAGATATCGTTCTGTATATTTTGGACGATTCGAGCATTAGGTTGATTTAACGACAAATGTTATTTTCAACGAAAATTCGAATCAGAATTCACATAAAAAATTTCTACCTCTGATCGATATAGAAAGAATATATTTCTTCGAGAAACGAAGCTTCACTAATTATTTAGAGCCTTGTATATGTTACTCGTAGTATCGAAATAAGTCACTGTCACATGGTGTCTATTTTTGTAACGATGATCGATCGTGTTCACGTGTGTGAAATGTTCATAACGTTCAGAGTAACTTGAACTTCCTTGAACCTTAAGAACAAAGATTGTTCTCGAAAGCGGTTCTTCGCTTGGTTAAAAACACGGATTTGCCATGTCTGACTTTCAATGAGGGGACTCGTAATAGGCGAGTTTCAGCTCTTGGTCGATTTCTTCGACCCGTACTCGAGCCTGACTGCCTTTCGGTCAATCCTATTCGCAAAACCACGAGAACGGAAGGATCGATCAAAGAAAAGTCAACGACTGCACTCTGTACCTTCGTGCTTCTCTGTCATTTATTACATACATCGGATATTTCTATAATAACGAATAGTTTATAACTCGACAAAAATTTCGTACCTTCTTCGTTTACTTACGTTCAGATACATCGATAAAACATCTCTGGCGTAAATATAATAACAAATTTACATGTACATTAAGCAAGCATAAATTACTCACCTTTGACTTTTGACTTTTTCTTCCTCTGTTTTAAATTCGATTCTGAAGCGTCGATAAATTAACCAGATGGATCAAAATTGAATTAAAATTTTGAAAGAACTCGAACGAGAACGCCTCTTTCTTTGTTTCTTTCGTTTGTTAGGTTAATTTCTCTCTCTCTTTCTCTCTCCCCCTTTCTGTCAGTGGAACGAAGCAGAAGTCTCGTCCTCCGGATACAAACACCTCGCGACGTGCAGTGCGCGGTGGCCGGTACGCGACTAAAGGCTGGGCACGCTTGCCTTGCGGGTCGGTCGATCGTATCTTCTCGACGTTGTCTGTTTTCTGTGTCGGTATATTGCTGGTGACAAAGCGAACAATTTAAGGGTTGCTAACGCGTCTAGAAAGCACAGCACCGTCTGTTAAATGCTCAGCACACACAATATGACAGTATGATACGAAGTATACATATATTGTTGGACGATGACCTATTCACACTCGAAACGTTCAGTCGATGGGCAATACCGAGGCTCATGGCGTGATTCTAATGGAGGAAACCTTTCGTTCGAACCTCGCGTTCCAACTTCGAGAATAGAACTATTCTAACCGTGATCATATATTATTTTGAAGAATGAAATGTATACAATCTCTATAAGTGAAATCAATTTCAATCGTAAAAAAAATAAAAATATTTTTCGGATGAATTTACTTGGATTAATTTTTTTTTTTTTTTTTTTTTTTTTAAAAATTTTTTTTTTTTAAAAAAAAAAAATTTTTAAAAAAAAAAAAAAAAAATATCAAAAAAAATTCACCCCAAAAACATTTTTTTTTTTTTTTTTATCTTGAAAAATTTATTATTTTGAAAAATCAAACAACGATCCGACTCACCAAATATCCGATATAGGAATATGTATGTAGTTCACGTGTACAGCAGCATGTATTACGAAAACAACAATGAGTAGAAGGACGTGCGAATCACGTGGACAACGAGAGGGATTTGCTGGTTGTATGGTGCACCGTATACGTAAATTTTTCATAGATTTATCTTTGTGAAGCTTGATAGAAGGGGAAATTCGCGAAGCGACCGAGTGTCTCGAAAGAACATGTAAAATTATATTGGGAAAGGCTCGCGGTCTTTAACCCATTTCTTCAGGGCCACCTTCTTGATGAAATCTGTACGTACGATGTAAACATCCAAAATGGGAAATTACAGTTAATAATAATAATAATTTTATTGAATTTTTTTTCATTAAATTATATCTAATCGATTTGACTTTCTCGAATTAATGCGTCGCAACTTTCCTTATGTTATTGCGCGAGATAGATTGCGATACACATACTTGAGTCTTAATCAAAAGAAAAAAAAAAAAAAAAAATATTAAACATGTTGTTTTTCTATAAGATATCTAATAGAATCATAAAAAAAGATAAAAAGAAGAGTTCTGCGTGTTGAAAAGTTATCAATTATAAGTCATAATATCTTTGAGTGAATAATTAGATAATATTTTATTAGACAATAATAGGCTCGTTAAAGAATATAAATATCGTGTATCCCAACCTACGTTATGTATCATATAATTTACGGGTGTTTAGTCGAATCATTGTTATAACATACCCTTGTTATCTTTCCGACAAAGTAACAAATACTTATCATTGTTGCAATGTTCTTAATATTTTTTTGTGACTACTAATCGATTTTATAATACCAGTTAATACTAGTGTTGTTATGTATCATGTACGACGCGTCGAATGTGAAAATCTTCAGCAATACAACGCCAGTATTAATTTCACTTGAATCGATATCATTTATTCCAACGACTATATATGCACAAATTACTCACTCAGCTCTACATAAACGATCAAATTGTTCGAAGTGTGTTTTAATATTTGTTCTTTGCCAAACGATGAATATGCCGAATAAGTATTTCAAAATGTTTATTAATATTAGCATATTAATATTAATAATAGCATAATTAATAATATAAAATATTATTATTAGTAACAATATTAATATAACTGCATTAAGATATTTATATCATATTATTGTATATAAATTAATAATAAAATTTTAATTTTTCCAGTTTCTTTTAATTTTATTTTCCAACAATTTTCGTTTTCGAACACGATTCACAATGATTCGCGAGTGTTTATAATTTAGAATCATTTCTTGAGTTCAATTACTCACTTAACCCAACTTCATTGATATTAAACGTAGTTTATATTATATATATATATATATATTTATGTGGCATCACGAAAGTTTCATTGCGAATTTTTTCTATTTGCAATTGCAACTATGTTTAAATATAGATTTTTTTAGAAAGATTTTTTATAGGAAGAAAATTGAACTTTTTATTTTTTATTAGTTAATTTATAATGCAAAACATATTTTTCGAATTTAATCTTTTATAAAAAAAAATAAAATACAAAATATTAAATATAATTTCATATATTAAAATAAAAGAATTTATAATAAAAGTCATCGATCAAATTTGTTTGTGTAATTATTATAATGCTTAAGCAATTTTAATACTGATAAAGTAGATTCTTAGTCAATGTGCAATTTAAATTTTCGCGGTTTACAAATGGTAGAGTACTGTCGATAAGTTAGTAAAGAAATATATACATAAATACTTTGTTCTATATTGTAGTTCTAACCAAAATGGTCGTCTTGAGTAGACTCTTGTTTGTAAGAAATCAAAAGATCTCTCATAGAAATGGATTATTAAATAAATTAATAGAAAAAAATAATAATAATTATACATTTCAAAATCAAGGTGATAAAGATGATTGTATTTTATTTCGTATATACAGTAGATCAAAAGTGATAGTGTTTTGTTATGCAATAAATTGTCGTACAATATATAAATTATATCAGTTTGTTCGTTTATAGTTTTTTTAATAGTTTAAATTTTTTAAATGTTTTTAAATGTTTTTTTTTAAATATTAAAACTATTACAGTGAAATTATTTATAAATTTTACATTTTTGTAATAGAACATATTATATATTATATATTTAATTTTATGATTTTTAGGGGCATTAAGATGGATGTCAGAACATCGAACTATGGAAATAACTGCAAGTCGTTGGCAGTGGCATAAAACTAAAGATTGGATGCATTTTTATTTCTTTGTAGGTGCTATACCTGCTGGTTTAATTATTTTTTTTACCAATATTTTTATAGGTCCTGCACAATTAGAACCAATTCCAGATGGATATATTCCAAAACAATGGGAATATCATAGGGTAAGATTTTATATACAAACATTTTAAATGTTTATTAAATAAAAAATTCATGCATGTAATAATTTTATAGCATCCTATTTCAAGATTTTTATCCAAATACTTTTTTCCAAATGAGCAAATGGAATATGAAAAACTTCTTCATAAATTAACAGTGGCTAACAACAAGCGATTAATATTTAAATTAGAAAAACAAATATTTGATTTACAAAAGAAACATAATGATTATAAATATTGGTCATATAAAGAAGGTACAGCATCACAGATAATAGAACTAAGAAGAAAAATTGATGAAGAACATAATCCTACTGTAGTGAAAGATATATAAGTTTGATCCTAATATAATTGAATGATATATAAAATAAATTATATGTATTTAAATATAAAGTAAATTTAACATAGGAAATAAAGCAAAGTAAAATAAAATAATTTATATTTAATTTTTAAATGATTCAATAACTTTCTAAGAATAATATATGGCATTTTGTGATTTTTATGACAAATAAGATTATCTATTTTATTACATATATAATATAATATTCTACTATATTATATAATCTATTCTATTCTATTTTATTAATATGATTTTTTATTATCATAATTTTATAATCAAAGT